TTTCATCGAGTTCTTCAATCGATTTTCATCCACTCGCATCCTTCAGTATTTCAGTTCTTCAATCGATTGTTTATCGCCCAAGCCTCAGTTAAAAAAGCTGATACTATTCATCAGTTCATCATTCAAGTCGACAATCATCAAATCAATTTCCTACAATCATTCCCAATTGAACTTCAAATCAATCTCCTACAATCAATTAAAGGCCAATGGTGGACAATTGGGTAGATAACAATGAAGCTACACAAGTAAGTTGTCAAATTACAATGCATACTGGATTTGAGATCATAATCTTGATAACTTTATATATTCTTGAAGACCTAGATCAAAGTATCTCATCAGATATGATATGTTGTTTGAAATTGAATGGGTTATTGACGTTATTAAGTTTAAAAACTGATTACAAAGCAGTAAATTACTTTTCTAAGATAATGATAGTGACTTTATATGGTTTTTGGTGCGTGAATCAAAGTCAGAGACTGCATAATAGACTTTGAATTGGTCGAGATTGAACCCCCTTCAATTCTTATTCGATATAACCTTTTTTTTTTAAGGCTAAGTAACTATAATAATGATAAAATAATAAAATAGTGAATTACAAAAAAAAAAAATGAAGGAATTTAGTCAAAGACAGAATGCATCACGAATCACCATGGATGGATGATGGATGTTAAGATGAGGCTTCGGCCGCCTTTCTGGTTGCTTTTGGGTGGCCGGGATACCACGCGCGGCCGTGCCAGAAAGTGACTCTGTGCACCTGAAATACCTTTCTATATCTTCCTCCTCTTGTATCTGCTTCTTCCTTCCCTGCTAAATCCCCCCGTACGCAGACCTATATATCCCATTGATTTCAATTCAAATCAGTTGATCTAATTAAATTAACCTAATAATTGCTTGCCTTCGTATGTTTACTAGGGATGAGTTTTGGAACCGAAAAACCGGACCGGAACCGGAACTGGAACCGGTATAACTGGAAAATGCTTAAACGGTCCGGGTATTGGGTTTCAAAAACTCCAATAATATGTAGTAAATTGAAAAACTCCAATCGAAAATTAGATTTAGGTTTGTTTTTTTAATTACAAAGCAGCAGGCCAGCAGCCTTTAAAATAATATGTAGCATGTTTTTTTTAAGTTTAAAAAACCGATTTTGTTTTATGTTTATTTGCATAATTAAAATAATTAGGCACTCAAATATATTATTACACAAAGTGCAGATGGTCAAGGTGTCTATTCAAGTAGTTTGAATTTTTAATGGTATGTGAGGTGTCTTCAAAATCGTGTTCACGTTTTGGCCAAGTGAAGTCTCTCCATATCTTTTTGACTAACACATCCATAAACAATCATAAATAAATATTTTCATAAATTGATCACTCTTACTTTTTGTGTTATTGTTATTAAGTTGTGTTATTGTATTTTAATTGTGTTTTTATTGTTATTTATTGTAGTTTGATGATGACGAGGTGTTTGTTGACAACACTCAACAAGAAATCAATGAGGAACCAACACAAAAGAGAAAAAGAGTAGGCAAAACAAGGTCCGATTGTTGGAAATCATTTGAGAAGATTTTTATTGATGGAGTTCGGCATGGAAAGTGCAAATGGTGCGAGAGGGCTCTCAAAGCCGACGGGAATAATACCGGTACGTCTAGCTTGAATAAGCATGCAAAGAATTGTAAAAAAAACCCCGAGAATTTGAAAAACCAACAAACATTACAATTTAAAAAAGAACCAACCGGGGAGGGTAGTGTTAGCACTTGGAAACATGACGACAAACGAATTAAAAAGGCTATGTTGAATTTATTTGTAGTGGGTGGTCTACCTTTTAAATTTGTAGAAAATGAGGCCTTTATTGAATACACAAATGCACTAAACGGGAAGGTGATTGTACCTTGTCGAACAACAATTTCAAAAAAAGTGTCACTTTATTATCAAGAAGAAAGAAATAAGTTGGTAACATTCTTATGTAATCCACTTAACACGATTCATTTGACCACCGGTTGTTGGACAAGTCCGAGTAAAAGGGTGCATTATATTGTCATTACCGCACACTTTATTGATGATAATTGGGAGATGCACAAAAGGATAATCAACTTTAAAGAATTAGATAGTCAACGGGGGGAAGATATCGGAAAAGAAGTGTTGAAATGTATTCAAGGGTGGGGTATTAAAAATGTCATGACTTGTACGGTTGATAATGCAAGTTCTAATGACAAAGCAATAGAGTTTCTAAAAAACAAATTACCAAACTTGTACAATGAAGGAAAACACTTTCACATTAGGTGTATGGAACACATTATCAATCTAATTGTGAGAGACGGGATGAATAAAAATGACGAGAGTGTTAAATGTTTGCAAGACGCCGTAAGATATATTAGAAAGTCCACACAACGGATTGCTCTATTTAAAAAGTGCATGAAAGCCGTCGGGGTGGAATCAACCAAATTTTTGTGCAACGATTGTCCCACTCGTTGGAACTCAACTTACAACTTATTGAAGATCGCGGTGGATTTAGAAAAAGCTTTCTATGAGTATGAAATGGAAGGTAATTTTTTTTTTCTGCATTCTTGCTGAATTTTTAGCTCTATTTAAATTGTCATATCTACTTCCTTATGAGTCCGTTTGGGCTGATTTTTTTTTTAAATTATAGTTCATTGTTTGGCAATAGTTATAGACTTTGGAAACACCTAATTTGCATGTGTTTTGAGTAAGTTACAGCCCTCCAAAAATGATATATCAAAGCTGTTTTGAATATGTTAACAGCATTATTTTAGAATTTTTCGTTAACTTTAAGCTGTCATATCTACTTCGTTATGAGTCCGTTTGGGCTGATTTTTTTTTAAATTATAGTTCATTGTTTGGCAATAGTTATAGACTTTGGAAACACCTAATTTGCATGTGTTTTGAGTAAGTTACAGCCCTCCAAAAATGATATATCAAAGCTGTTTTGAATATGTTAACAGCATTATTTTAGAATTTTTCGTTAACTTTAAGCTGTCATATCTACTTCGTTATGAGTCCGTTTAGGCTGATTTTTTTTAAATTATAGTTCATTGTTGGGCAATAGTTATAGACTTTGGAAACACCTAATTTGCATGTGTTTTGAGTAAGTTACAGCCCTCCAAAAATGATATATCAAAGCTGTTTTGAATATGTTAACAGCATTATTTTAGAATTTTTCGTTAACTTTAAGCTGTCATATCTACTTCGTTATGAGTCCGTTTGGGCTGATTTTTTTTTTAAATTATAGTTCATTGTTGGGCAATAGTTATAGACTTTGGAAACACCTAATTTGCATGTGTTTTGAGTAAGTTACAGCCCTCCAAAAATGATATATCAAAGCTGTTTTAAATATGTTAACAGCATTATTTTAGAATTTTTCGTTAACTTTAAGCTGTCATATCTACTTTGTTATGAGTCCGTTTGGGCTGATTTTTTTTTTTTAAATTATAGTTCATTGTTTGGCAATAGCTATAGACTTTGGAAACACCTAATTTGCATGTGTTTTGAGTAAGTTACAGCCCTCCAAAATGATATATTAATTTTTCTTTTGTAACATTTTTTTGATAGATCGTTCCTTTGCACGAGATGTGGTAACCCCCGTGAGTGAAGATTTTGTAACTTGTCGAGCAATGGTCTCCTTTCTTGAGAAGTTCAAGGTGAAAACAGAATTGGTGTCGACGACTTCAAAACCATTGGCAAATCGGTTTTTTGGAGAAGTATGTGGCATTTACAAACATATACGGGTTTGGTCAAAAAACAAACGATTTTATTCAATTGGGAAGGATATGATAGACAAATATGAGAAGTATTGGGGAGATTTTGAAAATTTGAATGACTACATGTACTTTGCGACTATCTTGGATCCGCGAATGAAGACAGAATTTCTTAGACATGCTTTTGAAACATTGATCAAGTACAAGATCCCGGAAAATAAATCCCTTTCCGAATTAGATATTACTGCGAAGACTAAGTCTTTAATCAAGGATATTGAATCGAGATTTGAGAACTTTTTTAATTGTTACAATACCAACTCTAATGTACCATTTGAAACCGGTGGTAGTCAAGATGCTGTGCATATTGATGATGATGACGACTTTGTGGGTGACTATTTTGCTCAATCGGTGAATTCATCGGCTTCAAAGGAAACGGAATTAACACGATACTTGAACGAAGGACAAACCCAAGGCGTTAAGGACTTTGATATATTGGTTTGGTGGAAAAATAACGCATCTCGTTACCCAATTCTCTCGCGGATGGCAAAAGGTATAATTTTAATTACTTATATTTTTTTATTATAATGTAGTATAATTTAACATTATATGTTTATGTTATTAGATCTTTTGGGCATTCAAATATCTACCGTGGCTTCCGAGTCCGCTTTTAGTACAAGCGGTCGCATAATTGATAGTTACCGAGCAAACTTGTCCGCACCTATAATAGAGGCTTTGGTTTGCACCCAAGATTGGGTGAGGAAATCAAAGAAGCCAATTGTTGACAACATCGATGATATTCTTAAAGATGATGATATAGCTAAAGGTAGCAAACAAATTCATTTTATTATCTAATAACAAAACATTGGTTATATGCTAACTTTCATATTAATTTTTTTTATGATATGTATTAGAGTTGGAAGACGCCATACGCACCCAAAATGGAAATGGAAAAAGGCCGATAGATATTAATGAGTAGTTATACTATTTTTGTTTTTTTTTTTTGTTGATAAATGATTATTGGTTTGTAAGTGTTTGTTTTTGTTGATTAATGTTTTTGAACTTGAATCAAATTTACTTGTTTGGTAGTGTGCAATTGTGCATGTGGGTGTAAACAAGTATAAATGAATGATATTTTAATCAATGCATGCACATCCACATTCCACTTTATTATTTTTTTATTACTTTTATTTTAATCAATGACTTTCGTCATTTTTAATAATCATTTTAATGAAGGTTTCTTTTTATCCATGTTGTGGTAAAATAACAATGAAAAGAACATAACACAAGCGAAGAAGGGGACAATGTTTGGGTCCAAGTTCATGGTACCTATTGAACAATTCAAAATCAAAGTCTAATATTCAAAACAATTCAAATCAAAATTCTTAAACAATTAAGAACAAAACAACACTTATTCCTTGACCATCTTGTCGAGTTAACGCATCTTCAATCTCTATACATAAAACAAAAATAAACATATTTAGTATTAAAAAAAATGTTACCAAATAAATTAAAAGCACAAAACTTATTACCTAGCTATATTATTCGGATTTTTGGCACACGTACGACAATGTTTATTAAGACTACTTGTACCGTGTCTTGATGGATCGGCTTTAAGTGTAGCGAAACAATACTTACACCTTGCTTGCCTTCGTTCAACCCCATCATTTTCTACTACCCACAACATATCAAAATGTTGCCAACATGTGGACCTCTCCTTCAAATTCAAATGCTAAACAAATTAAGTAAAAAAAATCTAGGTAGATTTAAAGCATGTAAAAAATGAAGTATCAAAGTTATAAAACTAATAGATTAAAAACGGAACCTAATTGAAGTATAAAGACGTAAATTAGTCAATTACTTTAAATGCATATTTGTATAAAATTAAAAAGAAACATACTTGAATTGGGAGGTTAGCTTCCATGAATGTTCTTGAAAAGAAAAAACAACTCAAAACCTTCAACTTAGAGAATAATAAGTTAAATGAAAATGTAGAGGTGGAAGGGCCTATTTATAATGAGAAGTTGTGAGATGTTGACAAAACATGAAAATTAAAAGATTGCTAATGTCAAAAAAATTGTCTATTGCTTTTATGTTCATATTTTCAAAGTTGAAGCCTTCAAGGTCAAAGATGCAAAAAAACAAGTTAGTAAGGTTGCAAATAAATAAATAACTAACAATTTAGAATTTCAACATATCTTAAATTAAAACACACAATCCAAAATAAATTATCCAATAGTCAAAGATATAATTTCTTTAAAAAAAAAAAAAGAAGAAGATCAACGTACAGTGATAAAAAAAAAAATGGGTCAGCTACTCAACTTATCAAATAAGGCAGTAAGGCTGCATCAATAATCCACTGACATTAGGTACTATGAAAATTAAATTATACATAATCATATTATACGATTTGGCTATATGGTACAATTAAATTATACATAATCATATTATACGATTTGTCGTCAATAATATTATACTATCTTGAGATTGTTTACTAAGGCACATAGGTAAGTTACCTAAGGTAACTCTGATATGATCTAAATGTCAATTTTTTTTAAACCAATATTGTTATATCTATTTATTTATTTATTTTTAAATAAATCAATGTCGTCAATAACCTAATAATTTAAATGTAATTTTTTGTTTGTTCATTTTTTTATAACGGTTGAAAGATTATGGGTAATAAAAAAAATCCGGGTTTTCCGGTTCTGAACCCATTTGACCCGGTTCTACTTTACCCACTTTCCTATTTCCGGGTTTTTCGGTTCTAGACCCACTTTACCCGGAACCGAACCCGGAACCGAACCGGACCCGGTTCCTATATACCGGTCCGGTTTCCGGTTCTTAAAAATATCGTTAAACGGTTCCGGGTTTTCCGGGTTCGGGTCCATCGGGTCCGGGTTTGGACCCACTTTCATCCCTAGTCGAAACACCATAAGAGTAGTTACTAGCATGCATACTGAAGCAAACTTCCAAGCAACATTTTCTTATCTTTTATGGAAGTAACTATCCTTTTTTGAACACTCAAGAGCCAAACACATAGTATTGAATGCATCTGTCAAGACCTAAATCGAAATGTTTTATGTTTACCTTAAACATACTAAACAAGTAAAACATAATACTTTAAAATGACCATAATTGTGAAGGAGGTTATATGTTTGTGGGTTGAAATTACCTTCAAACAAGATACTACTTAGAATCCTTTCACGACAAAACACCAGGATCAAGGTTTGGCCTTTACCTTCTACAAACAAAAGTACATATTATAATATGTTAAAAGATGGAATAATAATATTGCTACAAATTTAAAGCACGGTATACTCAAGGTTGATATGAAATATATGTAAATATTAGGATATTAAGAAACACATAGCGTACATATAACAATACTCTGACAAGCAGTCCGAAAGTCATCATATTCCTTCTGAAGTAAGGATGAACAGTTTGTCCCAAATCCTGATCCCGTACCCGTACTGTACCAGAACCGGTACCAAACCGTATCGAATTTGAAATAATGGGACGGTACTTGGTACTCTAAATACATAAAATTCGGGATTCAGTACCACCGGTACCGGTACTAGTACCGAAAATCGGTATTGTTCCCGGTGCCGGTACCGATTATGGTAATTCGGTTCATTACTGAGGATTGACTTTGATAAAATTCGATTTTCGGAAATTTGGGAACAGTACGGGTTGGTACTTGTTTCGTCCCACACTCATCCCTATCTGCATGTCAATTGGGTCAACACGTGGTAGTATATTATCATTATAAGGAGATACTACATTACTAAATTATTCATCGACATCACATATGCATCTCTATAATTTTTAGGAGATGTGTAGATGACAATAGACATTTTTTAATCGAGTGCGTCTATCACATAAAATACTTGTCGTGCATGTGAGGGAAATATGAAGGGATCAACTTTATGGCCTAATCTATTTAGCTCAACTAGTGTCTGCCCTAATCTATCCTTCTTGACCCTATTTTTATTGTCAACCCAATCACACATGAAAACTGGAATTTGTTTAAAATGATAATCTAGTATCCCATATCTCTTGTAAAACATCGTAATATGTGTTTTTGACATACGTTACAACTTCTTTACTAATGTGTGTGTTAGTTGCAACAACACTAACCACATTGTCTTGGTTAATTTTCCTTTCACAAGCTTTTGTACGAAAAGTATAACCATTAATAGCATATACATCGTATTTAATAATGTTTTTGTTTGGTCCATGTGAAATCCATCTCATTGTCTCTATTACACTTTTTCTGCAGACCCCTATCTCTCACTCTCACTCTCTCTCTCTATCTCTCTCTACCTTAATAGTATTATAATATGAATTTAAGATATAAAGAAATACATAATGATTAACAAGAGTTTATTGGAAAGTACATGTCATAGTACATTGCTATAACAGCCACTCAAGAGGCTAACATGCCACTTAGGAATGGTTATGCTCATTCCTAATAAATTAAAGGAAAAAAAACAACATATATGAAAATAATATACCTCCTGTCATAACCAATGACCAAATGTATTATTGTGTTGTTGCTCTAGCTTTGCTTTTCATTTAGTCGGGTGTTTTTGTTGCAAAAAATCCATGTTTTGATTGTACATATGTAAATGTTATTATTAAAAGAACACAATAGTATGCAATAACAAAAAATACATACATGTAAAAACCATACTTTATATACGGGAGTACTTCAGGTGTATTTTGCAATACAAAGAAATGTGATTTGCTGAAGAGCGGTGGAGAAACTTCTACTGGTTTAGCAGTTGATAGAGGAGTGTCATCTGCAGTAGAACTACTATCTTCACCTTTCTGAATTCCACTACTTGTGTTATGACTATCAGGTGGAAGACCAATAGTATCCATGTTTTTTATGAATTCATTGAAAAACTCAATTATCTCTTCTACAACATTCTCTTCTACACTGCAGCCTTCTGTCTATTTTGTTTCGTATGTGCCCCTTAATAACCTTTCATACACCTTTCGAACAGGTACATCTATATAAAGAATATTGGACCACATAATTTTACTTCCATAGTAAGGTGAATGGTTAAGTGAATTATCACATCAAAAAATGATGGTGACAATTGTTTCTCAAGAAGGCATAAGGTCACACATAACTCTTCTTGCAACTTATTGTGCTTGTTCACTTTGATTTCTTTGATACATATTGTTTTGAAAAAGAAACAAAATTTGGTAATAGCAGCTCTGGTGGGTGGATGCATAATAGACCGAAAAATCCATATTAAGCTCTTAATCGTTAAGCCAATGACTTCCAAACTCATATATGACCCTAATGAGATGTCTTAACATGTTAAGTTGGCAACTTTACTCCTTTGCATGGCTTAATGGGACCAAAATCCTTAATAACATCCATAATAAACATCCAACTCATGCATGGTCCAAGATGCCATTTTTATAAAAAAAAAGGGACCTCCCAAAGGCTAGGATCCATCATTCTAAGCTCTTGGAGTAGCTCACACTCACAATGATGACGCTAAACACCAAAATGAACCCAAAATACTCCTTAAACTTGATCTAACACCTAGAGTCATCAAGATAGAAACTTATACCTTAAAAGGGTATAGCAAGATGCAACAAGCCTGGATCCAAAAGCTTCAAGCAATCGCACACTTATCCAAGAAGTTTCTTCTTCTTTTGTGATCACCAAAAACCATGAAGTACCACCAAAAGCTCAAAAACCACTCAAATGGGGGCTAGGATTTCGTTTCTAGGGTTTGGAGGGCTGGAGGCTAAAGATAATAGGGTTTGGTGGTGAGTTAAGGAGATTAAATAGGGTCCAAGACCGTAAATGAGGGTTTGGGTCTGACGGGAGTATGCCCAGTGTACTCCATAAGACATTAATGATCAACTTTCTTAGTACGCCCAACATACACCAATGTACGCCCCACGGACTCGATTTAACCCTAAAATCATGAATCTTCTGAAGGCCATAACTTCTTCGTTATAAGTCCGTTTCGACAATCCTTATATCCATGAATATGTAACGAGAAGCTCTACACTGCTACAAACTCATACTTTCCTTAAGACTTCCCGAACAAAAATCCAATTTCCATAAAAGCCCAAACTAACACTTTACCAAAATACCCCTTGGATCCAAAACACAAACCCAACTCCCAGATCATCCAAATTACATTACACACACCCAAATGAGTCTAAATCTACTTTCCTCAAAGGCCCCAAGCCTGATGATACTTGGTTTTCGGGTCACCACTCCGCATTAGGAAATGATTTGGAATAGGGCGTTACAACTCCCCCCCCCCCCTCACTTAAATTAGATTGCATCCTCGAAATCACTCCTTACCACCCTCTTGAGAACCAACGTTCCGAACAAAACCTTTTAGTGTTGAACAAATCATTGAACTCACACTTGTTGATCCAAAAGGCTACTTCTATAATTCTGAAGCCCCATAACTTTTCTAACCTCCACACAGGTAGAACCAGACCGAAACAAAGCCACACAGCTCTCCTCCTACCATCAGAACTGAAAACATCCTTTTAACCCTGAACCTTCCAACGGATAACCCGCCATACATATTCCTTAATCCATAACTTGCTGAAGTAAAGATCTTGCGTAAACACACTAACAATTCCCAACGCGAGTCCCGACCGAAAGCCAGCTCAGTGCATAACTCATAACCTGAGATCCAAGGATTTCCACTTGCATTTCACCTAAAACCTTCTGATTCACTACATCTATTCACAAAACTGGGATATAAAATCTGCAATCCACCATCGAGACTACTAGCCTCACAACTAGTCCAACCACCAGGTTCCTGAGAGTCTAACTGATAAGGCTATCCTAACATATGCACCCCACTATGCTACTATCTAGCCACATAATTATCCTATGGAAACCATAATCCAATTCCTTGACCCTGCTGGTCTCCACTAGATCTCACCTACATTGCCATAATCACACGGGCCTCGACCACGGGTCTCACCCCATCGAGAGCTACACAGGCCCAACCTCGCCTCAGACCCCCAATAGACCTCCTTGCCTAAGGTACAAGCTGATCCTCCTTTATACCTACGACTACCACAACAATGGTCTACCTCAACCTGGTGAATGTTGCAATCCCATCACAGACTTACAACACTACCATACTATCTACCAACCTAGTGAGCTCTATAGCCACCCCGTAGTATTACGACACATCTAGCCCACCATGGTCGCCGCCCATGGTTTTACCACACACAAATCCTTTCAAAGAAAATGCTGCTACAAATGCAAAACCCGACAAAATCATGGTCGCATACGATCCTAGAATAGGATAGACAGTCGTACTCTTGATCCAATTCAAAGGCTATAACCTAAATAGAACCATGCATATAATTCAAACCAAGTGCTCTGTTGATATCTTGACAAGCCTATACATATCCCTGTATGTAATATAATGAGTTTACCACAGTTCACATCCTTAGGGAACCTATAACCTCATCCAAAAAGGGATAAAATACCAGAATTCTATCAAAACGACAAACCTCAATCATTAACAGGAGACATCCTCATGAAAGATTGGAACAAGACCCCATACCTTGATTGAGACTAAATAGATTCCACCAATATGAAACTAGCTTAAGAAGACTTCCAAGGTGATCCTGAATGCTACTAAAATCTAAGCCAGTTATGAGCCAAAATTCCACACCACCATGATTGAGGATAAACATACCCAGAGACCAAAGGAACATAAAGAACACTAAACTTGATGAGAGCTTGACACATCCATTGGAATTCAACTTTCACAACTTGAAACCTTCGAAGAACCCCTGTTGAATGATGAACAAAACGATCAATGATCGAGGACGCATTAACATTAGATATAAGGAGCCAAAACCTATGTGGAGCTGAACGTTCCTAATTTTGAAACTGATTTCCTGGTCGCCACCTACTATATACCCCTGCCCTGACCAAATCCTGAACCGAGATTCCATATACCTGCACCGCAGATCCCTATGTGTGACAACCCGATATTTCGATTCTATGTACTGACTTAAAAAGCCAAGTATTGTAACCACTTTTGAAAATAATGAAATTAACTTTGAAAATAAAATGTACAAAAGTCTCTATTTAGTTACCTACTATGTTAGATATCATTAAACCGTGAGCGTACATAAGAACAACGTCCAAATCTGACGTCGTATGAGGAAGTTATGATTTTTCCAAGTTCGGTATAGCGGTAGATAGCTAAAAACTCGAAACAGAGAGCGAGTGACTTTTGGCCGGAAAGACCTAAATGAGCATCGAAGGTCTCGACAATTGTATTTCAACGGTAAAAAGTCTCGCAAAAACAGACATCGGATAAAGAAGTTATGGATTTCTAACGAACTTTTCCTACCCCGACCTTTTAAAAATAAATAATAAAAATAATTTCAAAATTTGCCGACGGAGTCTAAACAAAAGTCGTAGAGCGTAGTCTCACCTACACTTGGATATAAAGAACGTCGAAAACGGAGTTCGTATGAAGAAGATATGAATTTTTGAAGTTTACCAAATAATTAAAATATATATTTAAATAAAATTTCGGTATTATCCGAAGGAGGAGTCACCAGGCCAATCCGAGTTACGCCCAGCGTACTCGAGTGATAGGCCTCAGAACGTCCACGTCGCCCCTCTGCGTCGCTATGTCCCTTCTCATCCGAACTCCGGCAGCCGAGGATGCAATCATGCATGATGTACGCGTACACCCAGCGTAACCGCGTACGCCCAACATACCAAGGCGGTTCCCACCCCCTATAAAAGGGATGCGAGGGTTCCAGGTAAATTGCTCATTTTCTCTCCTCTTTTTTGCATTTTTAACTCGTTTTGCATGCAAGTGATATCCCGAAGCCCCGGTTTTCATACCCAAGCCCCGAAGGAAGTTTACGCTCCCGAGATTCCCGATAATCCCAATAAAATCCGCTTTCTTAAGTCAAAGTTCTGCTCGGTTTTCATCTCACCTTCTTCGATCTATCAAGTGAGTTCATACCCCTATAAACTACGCTTTTAAATGTTTGATAAATTCTTGTTATACACTTTTAGAGGGGGGGGGGGGGGGGGGGATGCAAGTAAACACATGGTTATTATCATGTGTAACCTAAAGTTTCACTATATAAACTTTTTATCTAGTAATCATATATGATCCATAACTACTACTTGAGAACTTTCGTATGCAATATATATTCTCGATAACATCTTGTCTTTTGGAAATAAAACATGTTTATATATATATATATATATATATATATATATATATATATATATATATATATATATATATATATATATATATATATATATATATATATATATATACGAATCAAACACTTTATTTATACTTTACATAACAAGTGAATATTACACTAGGGATTACTATACGAACAAAACACACGCTTTGAAAAACTATAATAGGTATAGTTTATGAGAAAATCATGAACATTTACATTCTAGAAACACTATATCAAAGAGATTTTTTCATACACAAGAACAAATGGACATTTTCATATGTGAATCTGTTTTATACTAAGTTTTGTGAGACATTTCACGTACTTTCGAGTATGCATTTTAATTCCTATATTACATACCATAATCCCTTGTAGGGGGAGCATGATACTTATGTATAGATCTATACGGGATTGACAATCTCACACTTAGGTTGTTAGCTACAGTTAGGTCGGTAGGCCTGGGGTGACAAACATCATTACTTTCCAATGCCTGGAGAACGTTGTTATAGGCATCCTGGTCAAATAGTATGGTTATAAGACTCACATGGAGTATTAAAAACACATTGATTTGCGGGGTTTCTCAAATGCCTTAACGATTTATACATAAACCTACTATTTTAAGCATGAAAAGTGCTATTGCA